GAGGTCACAACGAAAAAAAATGTCTAGCTGCAGTCTGCCACAAGCTAGCCATATTCTATATCTTACTAAATGTGCTCGGAAAAACTGGACAAGTGTGTGCCGGTAGTTAAATGAGCCATTTAAAGAGCTCGAAAGCTGTTTAAGATTTCTTTTATAGTTTTGTGATCCATCTTAATTTGATTTTTGTTAAGTTGCCACTGACGCTCTGTGGTTATATAGCTTGGCTTAAGCGAGTCTAGGTAAATATAAAGAAGCTTGGTTGTACTTTTACTACGGACAGGGTACAGAAGTTCGAGTCTGAAGAAGTACTATATAAAACAATCAATGTAACGAGTGGGATTCGAATGTACGACTACTTCTTTGCTGTTGCTCTTCAATTTGAACTAGATTGATTATTCTAAAAAGCTAGCTAGCTTTGCAATGTGATTGATAATGTTATTGCATAGATGTCGCTACTACGAAACAATGTAGGTTATGATGTTGTCGCATTAATAAAGGTTTAATCTTGAAATCGCAGACAAAGTCACGTACTAAAGTTATCGTTGATAGCATAATTCACTATAATTGCAACAATGAAGACGTCTTTATGCCGTTTTCTGAGAAGAATCGTAAAATAGTGATGTCCCGAAACAGTACGTCCATCACTGTTAAATATTTGACATGTCCGATTTTTTACATATTTATATGTACATTTAGTATGGTAGGTCTAATGGATGCAGAATAGTATAGAAGTCAGATTTTTAAATAAACACAGCTAACAAGTATGAAAATAATTATTTAAAAAATATACAAAAATCGAAATATTCAACCATTTTAAATGTTATTTTTAGAGATTATTTTACATTTTATTCTCACATTAGTTATAAACTAGTACGATTAAAAAAAAGACAATATGACAGGCTCTCATAACAAGTGTTTAGTCATGTCATATTATAGGTACTTATGTACTGTAAGGGCATGTGTAAAGGCCACTAAAAATCTGCGTCTTGTCTGACCGCAACGAGATTCGAACTTAGAACCTGTCTTGTTATTTTACTATTCATGACATATAACTATTGTTTTTTTTTAATGATTATTGAGTAAAAATTACCAAAGTACCAAATAATTCTTTATTACGAATTAATTATTATTATCTTTAACTATAGGTTTAATCTTCGATGCTTTGGTATAAAACGTCACTAACATAATCCGTGATAAGAAGGAGATGGAGATAGGTCATCTCGTTCTCACGAAGGCGTGCGTGTGACGTCACGCGATAATTGTCACCGGAAATGAAACAGACAGACATACAACGCTGAATGTTATAGGTTAGGAGATGCTTTTCATCATTTCGTATTTACAGGAGACAAGAGAACATCTCTGGAGCATGCTTAACGAAGCCGGAGTTCTTAAGTGTTGGCGATCCTGGTAGTCGGTTGGGATTGATTTAAGTGGGTTACCACCACCAAGATCCTGGTAAGAGACTTGCTACTATAAGTTTGGAGTAAGTAGATTTCTACTGGACGCTGAAAATCTTGAACAATGTATGTATCTATGTTAACTAAAGTTAAATAAAACACTTTAACCGTGACTACGCCTGCGGCAAAGCATCCGAAACGTCGGGCCGTATTTAAAAATAATTAAAACAAGTTTAACTAAAATATATCGCGTTTTAAACCGTTAGTGTTTTATCTAAATTTGTCGCGTAAACTCTGTAGTTTACGCGACAAATTTAGATTATTTATTAAATTATTTAATTAAATTTAGATTAGACTTTAGTCTGTACTAAAGTTTCCTTTGTAAAAGTTATTTAAATAGATGCATAGATACTGCAATGTTATAGTGAAGTATGACTAAATCTGAATAAACAAATATTCGTAATTATAAATCATCTAAAAGTTTCACAAACAAAATACAAAAGTCTCTTTCGATGTGAGAGAGGAGAGGTGGTGAAAGAAATATATCGCATTCGATCGACTTTAATTACATATACTTATCTAAATAAAACACTAACGGTTTAAAACGCGATGTATTTCAGTTAAACTTGTTTATTTCAACGTGTACCTACTACTCACGTAAACTACAGACTGTATTTCATATATTTAAGTTTAGTTTAACATCTATGATATTTAACAAGAACTTGCCTGACATAAATAGATATTAAGTAATTAATACGCAAATATTAAGGTCGAATTTACAATGCGCGTGAGGTGCATGTATCAATAAGTTGAAATATTTAACGATGACGTGTAGGACTCGGTAGCTCAATTGGTAGAGCAACAGCACGGAAAGCTGACGATGCCGATTCAAGTCGTGCCGTGTCGTAATTTCATTGTAATATTTTAATCGGCAGATCCTAGACTACTCCTACATTGTTGAAAATGGTGTCAAATATTAAGCGAGCGTTCTTATCAACAATTTATAAACAAACACAATATTATCTAATTGCAACCTCCTCTCAAAACGTAATCATATTTGAACAGAACAATATTTTCAACTTCCAATAGTGATAGATCTACAATATTCATTGTTTCGGTCGGGAAAGGCACCAAAGGCTGATTACATATATGAACGTAACACCTCATTAAAAACACAGAAAATAGTTTTCTAGGATACAGGTACACTTAGTGTTAAACCCCGTCTCTTGGGGTATGGGGCATATTTCTGTGTTCGTAACACTGTATTATTTATTGGCTTTATTTTTCAGTTCTTTGCATAGACCGAAATTGTTATTTTTTTTTTATATTTCAGAATTCGAAATAAGAACTCTTTATTCTAATTATACATTTTAACGGTTTAAAACGCGATATATGTGTTAAACTTATTTGATTTTTTTTATTTAAACCCCGACTTTAACTACTGCTTTGGTTACGGGGAGACAGAACTGTTTATCATTTCGAGACACAACCGCGGTCACATTTTAAGTATTTTACCCTTATACAAATCTTAGTACATCTCGTCAGTTACAGTAGCGGAAGACATCAAACAATAATATACAGAGCAAATATTATTAACTTTGTTTCAATAAACGACGTATTACGGATAGACTGTCATAATTCGTTTTCTCATTTTCAGTTAGCTTCCGGCGGATGTGATGGAAAATAACGTGACAACACAATCTGACGGACACGAGAGCCACGAAAGTTTGAGCCTTAGCGACATAACAAAGATTTCATTGGTAAATAATGTTTTATGTAATTTATCCTTATTGTACATAATTGATTACTTCTTAATTTTAGTCAAAGCTCACACAGTGAAAATATAGATTTTTATTCAAATCTAACACTCTTGTAAATTGCTGCAAAGCATCTGGAAGGTCAGGCCGTAGTTAAAATAAGTTAACTAATATATTCCTCGTTTTAAACCGTTGAAAGTGTCTTAAAAACAGATTTTTTTAATGTAAACAGATGTATCTTAACCATATTTCTGGAAAAGTACAATTTCCTGCTTTTTTAATCTAGTATTTCTTAAAATGTCTGTAATAGGTAATAGCGGTTCTACTAATATTTTCTTTCTCGCTTATTTCATATTTCATCTTGTAATACAACATTACATACATATCATAAAGTAGGTACCTACATATAAAATAACAAAAGTATGTCACCATACTAAAATCTTCGACAACAATTGCCAAAATTTTTGTTTTTGTCCATATTATTTCCTAATTTTCATTAATTCAATTCCGATCTTTAACTTGAGACAATATCGTCTGGTTACTTGTGTTTTTTGTGGGTTCGCGAAACCTTATAAGTGACTGTGCTAAAGGGTTTGAAGTATTTATTACATTAAGTTTTAGGGCTCCCTTGTCTCTTGATAACAATGTGTCAAACAATCAAGGTTCTAAATCAATATTTATATAATTTCCTAACGCAAACATCGGATACTAAAATATGGTTGGAATATCGAAATTCTGAAAAACTAGTAAATAACCTGTCAAGTTTAAATTCGCGTTCCGCATTCAGTCCTTTAGTTGTCCGAATGTCCAAAGCCAAAATAGGTCATAACATGTTACGATAATATTAAAATAAGAATTAAATTTCACCTCTATCAAGTTAAACCATTATTGGTATGTCCTGTACCGTTAATGGATTGTTAAGATTTCATTTGACTTTTTCGGCGTTAAAATGTAAAATCAATTCACAATAAACTATGCAACTCGGAATTAAACCTGCGACCCTTACGTTACGAGGTTGCGAGTTTATGACGCTGTATAGATACTATAAGTTAGAGGTCAAGCGTCTCTTTACCTTTGACCTGAGGTCATTTTATGGTAGCTAACCAAATTAAAGTACATACGTATTTGTTGTTACAAATAAAATCCTGTTTGAATACCTCAAGTGCATACTCATCAGTGTTTAATTAAGTTTAATTATTTAAATAAAACACTTTAACTCCCCGTGACCACGGCTGCTGCAAAGCATCCGAAACGTCGGGCCGAAGTTAAAAATCATTTTCAAATAAGTTTAACTAATATATCGCGTTTTAAACCGTTAAAGTGTTTTATTTAAATGTGTACTACTCTCGTAAACTTTAAAACATTAAATAAAACACTGCTTAACTCTAAATATAAATATTTTTATGAAACTTAACAGACACTAACAATTGAATAACACTATTAAATAATAAATAAATAATTTTTAACTTTGTTCATTTTTTAGAGAATATTAATAGTACAGATTAGATAGATAGATAGAATTTATAAGACAGTAATTAAAATTTCAGATTTGTGACTAGTTTATATCGATACAGTAACAATAGTTGACAATATATTAGTTGTCCTTTAGATAATTATTGGAAAAAGTATTTAGAAAGATAGAAGAAAATCACAATGAGAACTCAACACGACGTAGCGTAATAAAATACGACAACACAATATTAAAATTACGAAAAATTGAATTCGAGAAGCAATATCACGTGTCTAAGTATTTCTTAAGAAACACAACAAGCTCTCAAGTGGTAATAAGCGAATTCTCTTTTCTAAAACTGAAACTATGGCCTCATGCGAAAACCGTTCACTAAAGTTAGCCAGGTAGGGGGATGTCTGAGCGACGTCTAGACGGCGCGGGGGGCGGAGGGGTGCCCGCGGAGAGGGGGGGTCGTCTAGACAGCTGATCTCGACTATGGATCTGTGGTGTCTTCCGGACTTTTGTAATTGTTAAAGCACTATCTAGATTTTCGATAGAATCTCCGATGCTCGATGCCTTCAGTCTATTTTCTGTCAAGTCAAAAGTCATTTTTACATCTAGGTAAATGAATATAGTACAGTAATCGTCGTATCTATCTATACTAATATATAAAGCTGAAGAGTTTGTTCGTTTGTTTGAACGCACTAATCTCAAGAACTAGGGGTTGGAAATGAAAAAATATTTTTGTGCGGGTTCTTCAAACATTATTGTCGTTTAATATTGATCTATGCTGTAATCATTATTTTCAAGTATTTTTTGTCTTATACATGATCTAAATGTGACAGAGTTTGTAATACAGTGATTTTATTTAATTACCTTACAAATGAATTAGTTTTATGTAACTTACACTTATTTTTTTTCCGTACTTGCCGTGTCATCAAAATTAGTTTTTGCCTCTTCATCTTTACAAATAATGGCTGTTACCCGTGAAGTCGTCCCTTAAAAGATAGTCATATACCTACTCTCGCGGAAATTTTTTTAGATCATCATCATATTTTTTTGGGGATCTTAAACCGTTTTCGCAGCGCAAAGGAAACCCACAAAGATGAATAATTTTCCCAGTTTTTTCACGTTTCTTTGCTGCTATAAGTCACATCGCGATGTTTAATTTGAACCAACAGTTTCCGAGATTAGCGAGTTCAAACAAGCAAACTCTTCTTTACGTATTAGTATAGATAGATTGAATATATCTGAATATGTTTAATATTTATATTTTATTCTGTAGTTCCTCTAGAACTCAAACCCAGTGTTCAAAACTAAGACTTATATGAACCAGTTTTACTCTATTTACATTTGTTAGAGTCATTACTATATGTATTTTGCATTTATCAAATTAAAATTAGCATATGAGACATTTTTCTATGTCCTATTATCTGATTGATTTTAAGCAAGGTTAACAGGTTACACTTATATTATTCGGGGGTTCCCCAAGTCTAAAAGCTTTAAAATATAAATTAATATAATATAACTTTAAAATAGCTTTTAAATTTCGAATGAGAATTATTTTCGAATTTGATTCGAAAATCAGTTTTGTTTTTGGAAGTGCTAAGTAATAAAAAATCTTTTGGGTAAATACGATCAGATCGTTGTCGTAACAGTACGTCCGTCGTCCCATGACAAACGGAATACTTCCGTCAACTATCCCTCTTAACGAGACTTAACTGTAGCGAATCGATCAAAAAAATTCACAAAGACAGCCATCTTTTGTTGTCGGTGCGCAGTTTTTTGTGCTTTTTCTCTCTTTTTTGCGTAAAAAACTCGCGAAACATCTGTCCAGTTTCCCACGGCAATACCGTTCAATGTCGGTTTTTTTAATTTTCGCTTTCACACCTGTTATTATAGAGTATTGGGTATACGTAGTTATTTTGATGTCGGAGTTATTTGTAACGGCTGTCTTTTTCCGAATTTAAAGACGAAAGTCACCACGTGACATCCCAAAATAAATATACATATAATTAAGATTTACGAGAAAATTCTTTTTTTTATGAATATCGTATATAGTATCTAATATACTATCTGTTTTATCTTAATACTATATTTAACTATTTAATTCATATTTTTGTTTGGTTAATAAAATACAACTTTTCTCATTCCAGGTGGTGGACGACGGGATAACAAAATTCAAGTACAGCTTTAGCGTGGTCATGGGTCCAATGGTCTCCAAGTCTGGCAAATAATCAACAGATCGTAAAGTGGGTTACCGATCGTCTAAGCCAAAAATAGGTTAACAGCATATCTAAATTAGCTTTTATATTGTTGCGGTAGTTCAAGCAAGTATAACCCATACGGATGTATGGCGTAAAGGCATGTTGTCATTGCGCAAAACGTCCTGGGTTCGAATCCCGTTATAAAAGTTTGTGGTACCTACAGACAGGCTGGTTTAGAGTCACTTGATGGAAGGTAGTCCCAGTCTTTTACCAGCCAATTAAAATAAGCTAGATCAACTCTTTCCCTGCAAACAAGATCGATAAGTGAAACGAACGCAGAAATGTGTCTTCCTTGTCCTACGTACACACAATTGTTCTACACTTCGCGGCACCCATAAAATAAAGTCTATCAGTGTCTACAAATTCAAAGATAAACGATAGACAGAATGAGGCGATTGGGGAACTGTACATTCTAGCAGCCAATACCATCACTAACTTTCAGAAGATCCCAATGAGCAACCTGAGCTTTGCCTTATGATACACTAAGAGAATTTTATTTATGACACATTGAAAGATGTCATGGAGGAATAGCTTGACAATTGTATTCGATTGATATTTAACACGGGCTAGATTTGAACCCACGATCAAGAAGGTACCTTGAAATTGCTAAACCATAGGTGCTTTACCACGTGACACGAAAGCGCAATGACTAGAATAGCTTCACAGACGGGGGTCATGGATTTGGATCTCAAAATGTTTTATTTATAATTTCAAATAAGTTTGAAATTAAGTTGATAGTGAATCAAATGTCGTTCCTAGATTATGCTAAGTAATTTATTTAAATAAAACACTTTAACGGTTTAAAACGCGATATATTAGTTAAACTTATTTGAAAATGATTTTTGCTGCAAAGCATCCGAAACGTCGGGCCCAAATAAATTATTAATTCATTCATCTATTTCAATTAAAAACCATTTTCAAATAAGTTTAACTAATACATCGCGTTTTAAACCGTTAAAACTGATTTATTTAAATGTGTACTACTCGCGTAAACTATAGACAGTATTTAAGTAATTTATATAAAATATTGGAAGTATTAAAACCGACTGAATTACTCAATATGTTTCGTTCAATTATTTCTTGTTACTTTAAATTGTTTCGTTTTGTTTTTATGCCTACTATATTTTGCTCCAGATTTGCATAAAAAGAAAAATCGATTGACGCAGGCAGTGACGGACGGTGGCATAGCACGGTACGCCATCGGTCGTGAGTTCGAGTCCTGCCTCGATCTAAGTCGTTTGATCCTTTGTTAATTTCTGTTCCTTTGTTTTTATTTTTTTCATGATATGTCGTAGTATGTGTTCACATACTATAGCATATCATGAGACCTTATAGCTCTTTGGACCCTCTCAACTGGAACCCGTACATCCGAACTTGTGCGCAAAGTCGGTAGGATGACGCGACTGCGACTTTTTCGTCGCACGTCTAAGTTATTGTCTCTCTGAATAAGCCTAAATGAATTCACCATTTGAATTTGATTGGATGTATGTATGTACTGCGTGAATATAAGGCTTTTACTGAGTTGCGACTTTCGTGCGACTTTTTTGTTCGGGTCTAAGTCATCCACACAAGTTCGGTGATACGCGGGAACAGTTTTGGCGGGATTTCGACGCTTCTTCGTTACTTTTTATTGTTTTGTGTTATTTTTATTTTAGTTTTAGTATTTTATGTTTATATTCTGTTGAAATATTCAACTTACTCGGCACACAATTTTTCAAAACAGATTTCTATGCGTTATTTATTTATTTCAATCTTAATGTGTAGTTAAAATTCTGCAGTTTTTAAATTTTATTTGTATTTGCGCAAAAATATGCTCTAATTTCATTATTATTTAACAGAATTTTGAAATTAAGTACTAAACAATGGATTAAATTTTTAAAACGATTGTAACTAAGTGAGATATCTACGTATTAATATGTTAAACGATTTAATAATTCAAAACACAATTAAATAAAACTATTTTTACTTGAAAGTAAGCAAGATAACTAAATATTTTACAATTTAAACTGCTATATTTAACGCGTCCTCGCCTAATATACACACGATAATCAATTCAAAACACTATAAACAACTTAAATAGATCAATGTCACAACGACCAACAGCACAGTACTCTGTTGGTAATAGATTCGAGTCCCATTCGTCTTCCTGATCTCAGTCTTATTGTTCTTTTAGGTTACCAACGCAAATCTTAACTATATTTGTTTTTCTAGTTCCTAGTCGTCTATCGACTAGCGTTACAGGTCTCCAGATCCTGAAGATTCCCATGTCGGGTTGAGGTAGTAGGTTGTATAGTACAGTATTACACCATTTAGGAGAGACTGTATAGCCTGCTAACTTTACTCGATGTGGGGCAAACACCACTGAGCCAGCACTGGGAAGAAGAACGTCAGGAAGAAATGTAATTCCAAAAGTTTTACGAACTCTACTTTCTACGTCTTTGAAATATTTGTTAATACATTAAATATTTTACGTGTGAGTGTTTGTATTTGTATTGTGTAATGCTATAGTTAAGTAGTATTATTTATGTGTATTTTCTAAATTGGTAGAGCAACAGCACGGATTGTTGTGGATGCCGGTTTAAGAACTGAACGTTTCGTATTTTTTTTTAAATCTAAAATCGATCTTCAATTTGTAACATATCGTATTTTTTAAATAAAACACTTTTAACTGGTTTAAGTTAAATCGTGTCCACGGCTGCTGCAAAGCATCCGAAACACCAGGACATAGTTAAAATAAATTACGGTAACAAATATATTTCGCGTGTTACCGTATAAACGGATACTAAACATACCTATATACTTGTTACCTCAAATATGTCTATCGCACGCCCGTAAAACAGCAGACAAACAGATAAACGTGATTCCTGTACATGAATTTTGTGTTAAATTTGTACTTTTGAATTTGCCAATTGTTTTCACTGCAGCAAAATTTATTTCGCAAATGAATAATAAATATTAATAGTTATTATTAATTATTGTTATAAAGAAACGATATTTACTATTATATTAACATAGAGATGTAAATAGAGGAAGTTTTTTTTAAATGTTTGATGTAATAATAAAAACATTTTGAGTATATTTTTCTACTATTATTTACAAGCCCCGTCTTTTCCATAGATAATATATAGAAGATAAACAAACAATCGCATTTGTACATTTTTTAAATTGAATAGGTAAAATTTAACCAAAAAGTCGTATAATACAGGTTGTATGTGGTTGCTACTAATAAAAAAATATTGAGCATTTTTAGCATAATATTCGATAGTTACAAACCAATTTAAAATTCCACTACTGCCATCTCTTGACCAAAAGATTTGTCAAAATTAAATTTGATATTGACAGAGTGCAAAACAAAATTGGTTTGATATCAGCGCCATCTATTGGCTCGAATATTTGTATTTTTTAAAGACAAAAGATTTAATTCTAATTCTGTGCACAATTGCTTGTTTAAATTATTTATTTTTCAACGTAAATTATATTTGAATAAATAAAATAAACTTTCTTAGACCGCACCAACTTCACGTCTCTCTCTGATGAATCATCCATTGACGTCATGTTTACATCGGAATGATTAAAAGTGATTATTTTTATAGAGCAACACTAAATACCAAAAGTCAGCTGTCACCTAACACCCGCTGACTATCAACTTTATTGAAAGGGACGAAGGACTATAATCCTTGAAGAATTCAAAGCGGAAGTCGGGCGAAATAGGATTGCCAACAATTTGAGTGACGTCACATAAATGGAGCCTATAATACTCGTCTAAAATTACATTAGCGCACAAGAAAATCTAATACGACGTTTACGGTCCATTTTCCATCAATTTAACGAAACGAAAGTGCCTGGAGAAGTGTGTGTGTGTTCTATAAATCCAGTTTTACGAATCAGTGGAGATAGAATATTTTTTCTAAATTAGTTTCTCGGTCGCGAAGATTCCTTCATTTATTGTGAGTATTGTTATTTCAATAATCCAGTTACGAATGTTATCGATTATTTGTGTGTAATTCGTAAAATTATCACGATATTGCGTTTGAATGCGCGAAGTTGTCGAATGTCGCTAAAAATACATCGAAGGTGTATTTTTGGAGTGAATTCGTGTATTTGCCAGAGGCCGGGTGAGTCTGAAAGTGAAATTAAAAATTCTGATATTGTCCTCGCGACATTCTAAAACCTTGTATTGACCATTCGTTTAAGAGAATTTAGTATTTCGGTTATGGTGTCAAATTACTCCCAAAAAAGACAGTTAACGTTGATTATTTTTTTATTGTGGCAACTGAAAGGTTGTTCTAATTATTGTCCAATCTACGAAATATCTCACGCCCTTGACATAGTGGTTTTAAAATAATAAAATGGATTGTCAAGCTGATGTTCAAGGTTGATAAAAATTAAGTGTGCAGTGTGTCATACATGGATAAACAACTTACAAAATGTAACACCACGCTATGTTTTACTAGGTACAAATAAAAATAATCAAAAATTGAATGTGTTAGTAAATATATGTGTATTTCATTATTAAATACACACAAATAATACGTCAATATGTTTATTATATAGCCCCAACATGTGTATTTTAAATTACTACTCAAGCTTTGTTTAAATGTCTATCAAACAGGATAAAAGAAAGCAAAATTTTAAAGAAAGATTTAAAATCATTTTTAAAAGTTGTCATTGTGTAGGTAAATATATTTAGCAAAACCAGTTTTGGTTTTTACTGGAATTAAGTATTACGTACATATTTGCATTACAATATTGTGATTTATGATGACATTAGTCAAGTATCAGTTTTTGTTACGAGTAATGCTGATGACAAAAACATCATTGCAAAGTTCTTATTATCTTATACGAGTTATATGCCATTAAAACAAGTGCGACCTCAAATAAATTTAAGAACTAGTTACAATATAGAAACATGATCATCATCAAATTGGGGCCACTAAATGTTCTATTCCTACACCTCTCATAAGATGTAATTTTGACCTTTTTGTATTTGTTTATATTCTGATGATATTCGCGGGGTACATGTCCCATAAATATGCTGCCAATACAGGAACTGTGAATACGGTATGATAATTTAAATGGAATTATAGGTGATCCATGCCTAGATTTAAAAGCTTCATTCGAATTCAGAAAAATAAGACTTTGTTCCATAGACTAGAAATAATAACTAGACTAATAAGATCTATTTTATTTTTTTTATTAGTTAATTTTGATTGCATTTACAAAAATATTACTTATGTTGGACATCTATGGAAATCCTTTATTATTATGTATTTATTAGATTTTTTTTTGCTATTACATATAAGATATTAGTTCGCATTTATTAAATCTGCAAATAGTGACAACACTAATGAAGGAATAAGGGGTTTTTAATGTATGTAGAGTTTCAACTAGGTAAATTCTGAATTGATAGCGTTTATCACAAGAAGTTTACACTGTACTTTTAATGGCGAAGCTATACTTTGTTTAGTCTCTCCTATATTGACCCATTTCATTGGGTTATAATCTCTGTTGTTTTCTGCAAGGAAGCCATACACTCGTCTGTTATTACAAGATAGCTTAGACTGCAGTTTATTATGTAACTGGCCCGTTACTTAACTTACTTACTGGGTTTGTCCTCGATAAGGGTTGTTTAACTGGCAAAACTCTATAGATCAATTTTATTATAAAAATAATGAAAACGGTTCAAGTTGTCTGGCAATCAGTTTATATGGATTTACCATGAATTACATTAACATTTTATCAAAACTTGACTTCAATTTTCAATTAATTATAAGCTAGCTAGTTTAAAGGATTTTTCTAAAATTAAACATTGAAGGCAAAATGGGTCATAGAGCATTTTAAACCATTCAAAATGTGTTTTTTATAAAAATATCAATGAAATTTTTATTGCATATATAAAAAAATTTGATAATAATAATTCTTTTAATGCTTAAGACATCAATTGTAATGAAGCATGAACCGACTGTGTTTAACAACTAGCATAGAGAATTATATATTGTTATTTTTAAAGTTTCAATAATTATTGGGAAGTAACTCAATCTTATAAGAATATTGACTTGCTAGAAGCAACGGTTTTGTTAATCTAATGATCATATATTCCTTGTTAACTATTAAAACAATAATAGATGCAAGGGAAAGACAATTGTAAAGATAACAGATGTTTGTGATATATGATATTATAATAAAATCACTTAAATTATACTCAAGATAACATCTAAAATAAATACCAAATAATATAAAAAACGATATAAAATCCAGACAATTATATACAAAAATAAACAAATCTTTCTAAATACTCATTTTCAACTTGCATGGGAGTTTGTCACAGACAAGCATGAGGTGGTACACTTGATGTTAGGTGATACCCCAGCCACTATTTTGGTTTTGGATATTCGAAAATCCACAATGCGATTAAAGTTCACTGTTTTTTTTTTCATCTGTGGACGGTGGTTCGTGACCCGGACGGAATTTCGATATTCCTACCACACATTTAATATCCACACTCCAGAATCCTCCAACGTGTTTCAGAAAAATTATAAACTATTAGAAACATGTTTTATATGATGGCCATTGAACCTACGACCCGTTGTCTATAAGCCACACGTTGCTACCATTCGACTAACGAGCTCGTCAAGCAACACCAACACAATTAACCAGCAGTCCCTTCCTCCAGGTGCTAATGAAAATGCAAAGACAGCGCCCGCCCAGGATCAAATACTGAATCAAAATGCCCGTCGTCTCTCAATCCCGCCTACCTCCGACCTCGTCTCCGATCACCGGCTCGTTCCGGTCATCACTCACCTCCACGTCCATAGACAAGCCGTACTATCGCTCCAGCAGTGGCACTTACGTCAATTCGACCCTACGCTCCAGCTATGGCGACCGGACCACAGAGTTCAGATATAGATATTCAGATGTCGATGGCAAGAGGGAGAGGAAGACGTCCCTCGTTGAGTATTCGAGGGGGTCGAGGGCACCGAGCGTGACGGACTCGGATAGCGGGATCTCCACTAAATATAGGTCGGAGAGAAGTGAATCCAGGTCGCGGGATGTTTCGACAACGAGGAGTGAGAGTAGCCGGACTACGGATATTAACAGGTAAAGGATATTATTGGGTGAGTGGGTCACGTATTTTGTATAAGGTGTAGTTTTAAGTACTGTCTGTAGTTTATGCGAGTAGTACAAATTTAAGTAAAACACTTACTTATAACGGTTTAAGTCGCGAAATGTATTAGTTAACTTATTTATTTATTTTAACTACGGCCGGTTTCGGATGCTTTGCAACCGTGGTCACGGGGGGATTTAAATAATCAGCTGCTGCTGATCTATGGCTGAAAAGGATTCGATCGTTAAACAATTAACTAATATATTTCGCATTGAAACCGTTTAAAGTGTTTTATTTAATTGTGTACCACTCGTGTTAACTACAGACTACTTAAAGCTACACTTATTAGCAAATATATTAGGTACATTTTAGATAAAAGATAGTTTAGAATAGTCATTTATTTTTCTCTCTCCAGCCACATTTATTTCAAGCTAAACCTGATACTATTAATTCTTGCTTTCCTCTTGTGAAAGATAATATCTTTATTCCCTATTTGTTATATTATACTGGGCTACGTCCGTTGCGCAGGAAGAAAAGAGATGTCCTCAGTTCCGCAGCTCTGGAGATGTCAACAGCAGAATTTTACAACAAGTACTCGCCCGCCAATTATGTGCCGCTACCGCAACGGATACAGCAGAGTCGAGAGAACTACGGCGAGATCTCTAGATCGAAATCGATCTCCAATGACATAGGCAGACCGCCTGCGCCGGAGTTGAGGATTCGAAAACCCAGAAATTCCGCCGCGACTATAATAACTGAGGTAATTTCGGACATTTCTCAACTCAATACATTGCTGTATTCAATATTTTCAGTAAAAATTTGCACAGATTATTCAAGTCAAAAAATTAAGTCCAAAATCGATTTTTGTTCAAATTTCATATAATTTTTTACGAAATAAAGTTACAATCCTTAAAGTCACTGTATATAGAGTTTCGCAGATAATCTACACGTTTGGGCGTGTGTTGTGTGTTCATGTTCTTAACAGCGCACTAAAGCTATCGAAAATGCTTTGAAACGTGCCGTTTGAAAGACGACTTTTTACAGTTTTAAACACCAAAAACTTTTTTAGTGGAAAACATTGGTAACACTAAAAGCCGTATTATAATTTTTATAGCATCTTTTTACCTCAGACACTCTTTCTCACTTTTTTCTATTAGGATGTATTATTTCTAACGAATATTAGGCTTTCATGAATAGATAAACAAAGGAAAAAAGCAGAAGATATCACCACGAATCGTCTTTCAAACGATGCTCAGCAATTGTATTGTAGTAGTAACATAGATTCAAAATGTTAGACGCATGCGCGATTTCCTCTAGAACTAACACACAATCACACGCTAAAATTCATTATTAAAAATCTCATATTTTAAAACATACACACATCCACGGCAGTTAGATGTATTTTTCAATTCAAACATCTCGTTTCCAACTGTTAGACATCACAGTGATGTTTTAAAATATGGGACCACTTGGTCTGATCTTATCGTCTAATATCTTTTGTGAAAGGAATTTGTGACCTTGACAGGTCAGTAAATCCTGACACATTCTATTCCTTATTGAAAAGATATCAGGCGATGGGAGTTTTGACCCGATGTCGCTAAGTGTAAATTTTCAACGACCAGAAACCGGAAAGCAGAAGAAAAAAACCAACGTTTACAACTTCTTCTAATGGAATAAGAGACAGCAATGGCAATGATGTACCCTCAGTCGCGGAAATACGAAAGCAGTTTGATCGTAAAATACCCGTTACGAAACTGCCCGCAAATGAAGCAAAGTATAGCACTAAGACAGTGGAGCAGTACCTAAATCAGTTGAAAGATTGTGAAAATGGCTCCATGGGGTATATAAAGCTAAATCCAAAAGACGACCAGCCCGTGCCGATCCATTTGCCAAGCGAGAAAAATGGCAGATACGAATCTCCTACAAAGTTATCAGACATCACTTTGAGCAAGACAATATCTGAGCCCGTATCGCTGGCTAAGCCGTCAATTGATAGGACTGCCATGTCTACGTCATTTACGAGCAAATCCGAGAAATTAGCAAGTATAAAAAGTCAATTAGATCCAAACAATCCGATTGGAAAAATCTTAGAGAAATCAACAGTCATACATATGGAGAACGGAGATGTCGATGAGAAGACAAGTAGCCCTGAAATTAAAAGTCTCAAGAACGACATAGAGAAGCAAGTGAAAACACCCAAGCACACATCCAATTTCGCGTCATACATCCAAATATCGCAGCCAGTGGCGTCTGGTCTTTCACCTAAATCGGAAAAGAAGAAACTCAAGTGTATAGACTCTGAACAACCGTTAGATGAATCGCCGACTGGCTTTGAAAACAAGACGTTTGAGCATGAAAACTTCTTGAAGAAGAGATCGGAGAAAATAGAAGATGAAGTGAAATCAATGGAGACCAGCACGGAGAGTACCATAAGTGAACCGACTGACTCTAGTCCGGAAACCCCACCAGCGAGACGTAGGATTCTGGAAAAGGACTTTGATGATATAAAAACGGTAAGTGTTGGTTCGGTAAGGACGTTTATGATGACATTTAAATATTAGAATAATTTATTATAATTGTGTAGGCGAGGATTTAATTCTTGTCCTAAACGTCCTTGGATCGAGACATTTATTGATATAATCAAATACAATGTTCACCTCTGTATAGTAGAATAAAATTATTATAAGAGATTCATACAGCTATACGGTATCAAGTATTATCACACAAGAGATTTGGTATAAAAGGTTTTTCGAGCTCGTTGGCAAAGCAAGTTTATCACGATTCCGAAGTTAATCCGAAAAAAACGGTATCTTATATTATTTGGCATGGAAATGGTGCAGAGTTCATCGGCTTTCATATTTAGGTCGAAGTTAGTGTGCAAAAAATATCTACGTGTTCCCAACTACACTGTAGAACTGTACTTTTTTTTCGAATAACTAGATAAATTAATCTATAAAATATTTTATCATCGTTTAAGAGTCACAAAGACGATAGATCAATAAAATGGTATTGGTAATTTCCATCGACAGATAATTTTATACAAAACGTTGTACCATGTAGTGTCGTATATTTAGAATACGGAAGATACCTAGAATCTAGTTCACGATGCCGGTCGTAGACATTAAGCAAATTTTTACTTGTTAATCCTTCGGCGTTTTAATCAGTGCCTTTTAATCTAAAGATTAAAGCATTTTAATATCTAGGGCATATTTAGCACTAATTTGGAAAAATCGAAACGTTTTGTCGGTCTGTAGCTAGTTTAAAAAATTAAACAAATAAAAAAATCACTAACGGTTTAAAACGTGATGTATTATATATATATATATATATATATATATTTGTTAAATTTATTTGAAAATTATTTTAACTACGGCCTGACGTTTCGGATGCTTTGCAGCAGCCGTGGTCACGGGAAGACTAAAGGTGGAGGGTGTCTCTGACGTCAAAGTAAAAAACCGCTACGCTACAGCGCCGTAGTTAAAATAATTTTCAAACAAGTTTAAACATATCGCGTTTTAAACCGTTAGTGTTTTATTTAAATGTCTACTACTCGCGTAAACTACAGACAGTATTTAAATAAAAAAAGTTAATCATCTTTTACATAAGCTTTTCACTTTAATTTAACAGAAAGAATAATATTTCGGCTGACGCATCGCTCTATAAATATAACGGGAGCAACATCTAGAAATACGCGCAACCACGCTTCTACGACCACGTGCGAATTTGACAGTTGGCCGCCATCTTGCGAAAAGTCACGCAATTTTGACATTTTTATCTGTGCCTTTATGTGTTTTGACTCGGTGAAACAGTCAGTCGCGTGATATGTCTTGGCCAAAAAAACTAAGTACATACTTATATTAAAATAATGTTTGGATGTGTCAGTCTATTTATATAGAATTATTCATAATTAAATATAACTTTGGAGGGAAGAAAAGTATCATAGAGTGACTATTATGTCTATACACCGAGAATTTATTACCGACCATGACCTTGCACAATATTGTATTTTACCGCTGAATATTGATATAACAGAGTAGCAAAGATAACATTATATCGGTGTTACCTCGTATGACAACATTCTTTGTTTCATAAATACAATTCAGTTAGTTCCTCAACACACGCTTATGACCTTAAAACCTTTTTTGCGCGTATCTATGATTTGACATGATATAAAAAAAATATAAACGTCGTATTTTTTTATCATTTATGCCGCTTTTATATTTATTTCGGAGTGAATATTTACTGTGATGTGTAAACAATGAGTGGGCAATCAAAATAGAAACGGTTCTAATCAACTGATAAATATTTATAAAAACACATTCCTTGGCCCTACTATCCCATAGGTCGGAAAACAACAACAATTTCGAAAAGTATAAATCTTTGCAAATCGTTGCCATAAGTCACGTTTGATTTAGTTATATATGGTTATATCCTAGTTATTGTTAAACCTCTTAGGCTTCACTTAATTTATCGTTAAAACCGGTTATTTTCTGCTTTTTTACACGTTGTAGATCACATAGCAACGAAACTCTCACACTATCTAGTGATAAGATATCTATGAACGTGCTACATATGTTTCAAGAGCGTACTTGAGTGACGTAACACCCTCAGCTACCTATTTTAGTAGACTTTATCAATTAGTACTATATTAGGACACCCGTATATAAAAATGGTTATACTTTTAGAGGTATGTATGTCTTTATTCAGTCTTTGTCTAGTCCTCAATACTGTCTGTAGTTTACGCGAGCAGTACACATTTCAATAGAATAACACGCGATATATATTAAGTAGTTAAACTTATTTGAAAATCATCCGAAACGTCGGGCCGTAGCTAAAATCATTTTCAAATAAGTTTAATTCATGTATATCGCGCTTTAAACCGTTAAAGTATTTTATTTAAACTAGTTCTCAATAGCTAAGTTCTCGAAGTTTGAAACTGGCGTTGGGCTGCGGTAGATTATGCTGACTGGTTGTGCAATGCAGCTAAAATGACTTAATCGCTTATAACTAGTTCGATAACGCCACCTATCTTGACATATCATCACGAGGAAATCATTGATAAATTCCTACAACAACATTGATTATGAAATTTGGCAACGGCTCCTGGCTGAGCCCAGGCGTCTGCCCAGTTCAGCCCGCGGCGCCGAAATGACCACATCGTGACGTCACCGCGACATGTTTTCGGCGGGAATAACTTAAAATCGGCCATGTTTCCCGCGTCTCTTGTGCGTTACGTAAGCATACGCGCGTTTTTTGCTCGAATTGAACTGTGCTCGGCCTTGGCTATTTTCACGTGATGATCCTTGTGGGTCGAATTTGATTTCTATTGTCAAGGGATTAGAGTCGATTTCTGAATGAGTGTGGCTAACGAAAGAGACAGTTGAGTTTCCAAGGTCGGAGTGTGATTAGAGACAAATTAGACGAATTTTTCTATCGTTGAGATGATGTTTCGATAATCTTTTTTATAAGATTGAAATCGGTTTTAATTAACTTTTTAGATATACCTACATCTAATACAAATCGTTATAATCTGTATAGAAAACATCTGTGGTTTAAGGTTCTTATTAATAATTTGTTTCATCGTTCCTACTTACTACGATTAGCTACAAAGAGGTTTTTGCAAGATTAGACAAACAAATTAAACCATTTAAATTTTAACTAGAACACTTGAGTATTCGTAGTTATAATTGTTACTAAAAGGTGCCAAGTGTCGAGCTTATTACCATTTATTTGTGAGGAAATTTGTAACACTGGAACACACAAATAACGTTAACATAATTCAACAATAATTACAAACGACGAGTCGCGGGAAGTGATTTTTTTAATACTGAAAAGAACTTATTCTTATAACAGACTGTAACTTGAACTGATCGCCATTTTTAAAGGATTCTTCAACATTTTAACTTTAGTGAACTTTGTAAAAAGCTTTGGGACCCACAGGGCTTCCGTCAAGTCAGTACCTACAAGACTCAAATTATATAGTGCGTGAAGTTTATTAGGTATCGTGTATGTGTATTTCAAATCGGAGCGAAATTAAGAAGCCAAGTGTTCATCACTGATCCTATGTTCTGGTACTTGGAACTTGTGATACTAGCATGCCTGACTACTGGTATACTTTCGGCGTTGCGAAATGAGGTGTGGTTGCCGACGTTGTTACAAGCCTCGACCGTCTACCATCGCACCAAGGGTGGTACCCACCTATGGCCTGCACTATCAGGTACCTGGAACATGAATTACGTCTAAATAAAGAGAGCCTTATTGTTTTCAAATACATTTTGTTATTTAAAATTAATTACAAGCAAATGATTTAATTGAAAATAAATACATAACAAGTGTGAAAAATTAAATATTTAAAAATGGAATATTGATTGTTGGGTCCGTACGTCCGTTAGATCGCGCGTCTGGCGCCCGTCTGCCGGTTGAGAGGCGTCGCGTGTCACGTGTTCAGATGAACTACCCGCGGATGGTAAAAATTCAAAATGTAGTTTGACGTCATTAGGTTTAACAGACGTGTAGTCACATAAAACCGTTTTAGTATTGAAGCTTAATCTTTTTATATTTGCATAAAATAAATTATTTGATTTTCAAATATTTTTAATTTAATTAGTAGTATTTATAACCGCGGTAAAAAAAAAAATATTTAGTTTCCTTATTAAGCGGCATTTTCTGTTTATAAATAGTCTATTTTTTTATTCTGTTTACTATAATGACTTCAAGTTACATGAGGTTTTTGTGTGTTCAGGAAACCATTAACAATTTAAATTAGACAGAACAAATCATCTTGAATCTTGAAAAACTTTTTTGCCAATCGCAATAACTATTGGATTCATAAAAGTAGGTAATGTGATTGGCAACGAATTAACTTAGCACTTATTTAAGTACTAACATTTTTGCTTATGTATATCGTTTAGAGAATTCGTTGCTAATCATAATATAAAATAATAAAAATATAATGCTGTATGAATCTCTCAAGTTATAAGTGTCCTTAGTATATGTTGCATCTGCGACACGCAGTCATTTAATTTATAGGTAGCATGTTTTAGATTTTTGGTAGTTTTTTCTCATTTTGACAGCATCAACCAAGCATGGTCGCTGTGTTTTGAAGAGTGAGCTTGATTTTTTCGTTATGCTTCCTAGAACAATGATTAAGGCAGATGCATTATTTCCTACGTCAAGTAGACAACACAATACCTTAGAAATATTGAGGCGTATTAAGTGATCAGCTTAAATTAAACTGCGGGGCCTTAATATTTCAACTGCCTTATGTATGCTTGCCACTGCTATAGTGTAAAACTACTTACCGAAATCTATGAAAGTAGAATACTCTAAAGTCAAACGATTTCAGCGCACGAGTGTATTTTAAAACAAGCCTTGGCTTCTAGTGTGATATGTAATTGTGTTAATCTGAAGAATTCAGTACAATGGCTTCCATCTCTCTTGCACGTAAAGTTGATATTGTTCTCTTCCCATACCTGAAAGAGATAACACTATCTATAGGAGAGAAAGAGAGCAATAACAAAAGAGTAGCGCGGTCATTGTACGATTACTCAAAACTTTACGCTTTTTATACTAATAATTATGAAATTCCGTTGATAATGTTTTGAATGTGTAGGAGTTGGCTGGGGGTAAGAGCGGACCGAGCGGCCTGCGCAGGAGTAGCACGCCTCAAAGCGAGAAGAATTCTACTACTAGCGGTAAATGTATATTTTTTTATATATTATAAATCAATTATATATTGACCCGGGCAGGACTTGAATCGGCATCCACGGCCTTCCGTACTGTTGCGCTATCCGAGTTGAGTTCTTGAGTTACCGTTTCCTACACTTCATCATCAAATTTTATGTACCTATTGATACAAGCACCTTTCGCGCAATGTTATTTCAAACATAACACTGTACTGTTTTTTGTTCTTTTAATAATTAGTTTTTTCATGTACATAGTGAAATCATGTAATAATATTAGTATATGGTTATTAACTACACATTATAGAAAGTCTTTCTTATAATCCAGACCATTACATTTTTTATTCCAGGTCTCAACGGGCTCCGGAACATAGGGAACACGTGCTTCATGAACAGTGTGCTCCAATGCCTTTCGAACACACGTCCCTTGCTGGAATACGTTTCGGACGAGAAGTACACAAACGACATTAACACCACGCTCAGTTGCATGAAGGGCGCGCTGATTAAGGGTTAGTCACTTCATAGTTTACGCGAGTAGTACACATTTAAATAAGACATTATCAACGGTTCAAAACGCGACATTTATTAGTTAACTCTTTAGTGTATCTTAACGTGGTCCTCCCATAGTCTGCTGCAAAGAAATTGAAACGTCGGGTCGTAGATAAAGTAAGTAATGTTTTCGCGTTTTAAACCGTTAAAGTGTTTTAAAAGTTTGTGCAGGCTGATTAGGCTCTATGGGAATTTTATTCTCCATCCCCTAGAGTCTAGACTGTCTGTATGTCAAAATTTAAGTTGCTTTGGTTGGAGGGGGGACTGAGAGTGGGAGGGATAACCACCTGTTATAGTCTTGACAAGGATTCTTTATGTACATTTGTAGCGTTCGCAAGTCTGATTAAGGAGCTGTGGCGCAACGGTGACCGCGATTCCTTCGTCAACACGACGTCGTTCAAGTCGCAGGTTCAGCGCTTCGCGCCCAGATTTATGGGTTATAGCCAGCAAGATGCACAGGTATCAACCGGACAGACTTATTATCTGTCTCTACTTAACTAACTCATTCTCAAAGGTTTTTTTTTGCCATTAAAAATATATTAATTATGGTAATTTTAACATTCTTATGGTTCTTTGAGCCAGACATAACTCTACGTATGTGACCGTCACCCTTACAAAGGGTGACGGTGACATTGAAACTCTCTTTGGGTAATCTGACATACCTGAAGCACATATGAGATTCGAAAATATGTTCGACTCCCGCCGAGTAGTTTTAAACAAGCAGGGTCCAGAAGTCTACTTAATTACTTGTCTGTATAAAAGGTGATCAATGAAACAAAAATGTGTTTTAAATTTCATGATCTCGCGCAAAAAACATTGGACCTAATTTTTTCTGGTATACCCAAGCTGAACAAACCAAATTTCACCCTGTTTTCAGGAGTTTCTGCGCTACCTACTTGAGGGTCTGCACGAGGACGTGAACCGGGTCACCGTCAAGCCGAAACCTATCTTGACCGAAATCGAAGACAGCCTCAGCGATTCGGCCAAAGCTGCCGAATCCTGGAACCGTTATCTTCGTATGGAGGACAGTCGAGTTGGAGATATTTTTGTCGGCCAATTAAAGTCTACGCTGCGCTGTACCCATTGCAAGCACGATAGTGTCACTTTTGATCCGTTTTGGGATTTGAGGTCAGTGAAGATATTAAAATCATATTGAACGTTTCTCAAATCTTAGATACTAGCTGTGTCCGCGTAGTATAGTTATTTCAGGCGCTCAAATTTGTTTTTGAAAACCTCTACATAATCTGAAACCAATGAGGTCGGTCGCTTCCCGTTGTTCTTGGTCAGTTAATCTTACAAAATAGTCATGTAGTGTCGTAGACATTTTTTACAACATTAAAAAAGAAAATACATAGTTTTTTCGCACCGTACGCATCGGAAACTCCAAAATATTAATAATTTCTCCTGCTCCTTTTTCGCTCCTATTAGTCACTATGCAATGTTTTATGGCCTATAACCTTCTTCGATAAATGCTCTAACCAACACAAAAGGAATTCAATTCGAACCAGTAGTTCCTGAAATTAGCGCGTTGAAACAAACAGATAAACTCTTCAATTTCATATATTAGTATAGATATAAAAACTAGTATAAAAAATGCTCTTTTCATGGCTCCGCTCACTGAGTAACGTTCAACATGTGACAATGCAATCCAATTGTAATAGAGAAATTTCGCTCAAATAGCTCACAAACGTAAATAGCCTAACATCTTAAATAAATTTTGAGTAACTTAAACTCGATGGATTTTTTAATTCTACTATAAATTTATTAATATGAAATACAATTTTTACGACTAGATACCATACTTCTAGCATCTAAAGTAACCAACTGAATTCGCGTTCTCAGTTTACCAATACCGTCGCGCACCGGCAACCTCAAGTTGCAGCAGTGTTTGCAACATTTCGTCAAAGAGGAAGAGCTTGATGGTGATGAAAAGCCGGTAAGTATTACCAGATGCATCTCGTACTTTTCCTGCTGAAAGCGAGATCTGAACTCCCTTACTCTTTGGTTAAATGGTAGCAATGTAGGGTTCGCTCCCCAAAAGGTTCTGGGTTCGAATCCCCCCCCCCCCCCCTTTATTATTTTTCTAAAAGATATTGGACTTCGTTTGGATAATCTTAACATTTAATGAAGGATGGAATATCAAAATTACGTCGAATATAGTCAGTCGCCTGCGCATCATGCTAAGACGTTATACGGTGGTATTTCCCATGAAGTTAACCCCAGACTTGTCTGTACTCTGTTATAAGTAAAGTAAACTGTTTTAAGTGTGCATTGTGCCTGACTCGAAGGACCAAATGTTTTTACTAGTAAATACATAATGTAAATTATTGTATATTTTTTAGACATGTTCAAAGTGCGGTGTGAGACGGAAGTGCCTCAAATGGTTCACCGTACAGAAGTTCCCTCAAGTGTTGGTGCTGCATCTTAAACGGTGCGTAGTTTTTAAATTGTATATACTAGAATAATGTGAGGTATCTAAAACTGTTTTATTTTAGACTTCTTATGTTAAATTAAAAATGCATTATAAGTCGAAAATAATTACGGCACGTCTTATGCTTTACAGCTTAAAAAAAAAAATCGTTGAAGTTGAAATTACAAATTTTTGTAATTCGTTGACGACGACGCGTAGGACTCGGTAGCTCAATCGGTTTGAGCAACAGCACGAAACTCTGTGAATGCCAGTTCAAGTCCCGCGCGTGTCGTAACTTTTTTATTTATATTTATATATTGCCATTATGTGCAATAACATGTGAAAAAGTGTTAATTTTTACGAACGGTACGAATATACATTTTTTGTTCCAGCTTCTCGCCGACAGAACGTTTCCGCGGCAAACTGAGTGTGGTCGTGGAGTTTCCTCTGACCGGTCTGGATATGTCACCTCTTGCCGCCAACAAGACCAGCTCAGCTGTGTACAATTTGTACGCTGTCAGTAACCATTCGGGTAAGTGAAGGACAAGTAGAATAAAAGTCATACCCCAATTGCTGCCAAGCCTTAATTCTTAATTCTTAATTAATATTTCTCTACCAAGAAGGTAGAGAAATATTAATTAAGATTAAAAAAACAATTTGTATTTTAAATTTTACTCGCCTGAAAATGAAATTTAAAAGCAGACACAAATATGTGCTTTACTCATCATCAGTGTCACTTTTTTATCTTCACATTTTAGACATCATCTGTATATAAGTAAAATTCTGTGCTAATTATCTAATCTAGATTTTTTTGTGTCTTTGCTTAATTAAAACAATATTAGAAAGACGTGATTTCTTATAATGCGATATATAAATACTGTCTATAGTTTACGCGAGTAGTACACATTTAAATAAAACACTTTAACGGTTTAAAACGCGATATATTTGTTAAACTTATTTGAAAATGATTTTTAACTTCGGCCCGACGTTTCGGATGCTTTGCAGCAGCCGTGGTCACGCACGTGGTATCGCGTTTTAAACCGTTAAAGTGTTTTATTTTAAAATGCGATATATTTATTTATTATAAAACAATTAAAACGGCGATAGCCACTTAGATTAATTGGATAGAAGTACACAATTGAATTACACTTTAAAATATATATATATTATATTATTTTATAAATCTTTTTAAACAAGAGCTTAGATCTGTTTTGTAAAATATACAACACACATTCCACTATATATCATACATTATTCTAAGTTTATTTTTATAGTTTAGTTTAGTTCACTAAAAGGTTGTAGTTGTTGTCACCTTCTCTCCCCGGGGGGGGGCACTGAAAACCGGCGCTTCTCCTCTACTCTGGGTGGTGAAGCACATGCCGAGTGCTTTTCCCCATTTCACAAGCACTCGTCCAAGTTTCTGTTTTTTGTTTGTTTTTTTCTTCTTTCACTTTATTTTATAAATGTTAGTTATTTAAGTTATTTATTCTGTCTTGTGAAATAAACGGTTTGAGTTTGAGTTTGAAATAGAGTATGCATCAATTACATTAGGACAAAATTTAAAAATCAGACAATTCTCTCAGTATTGATGACCAGTGATTTGCGAAAAGGGTCACATTTGGGTCTTAACTTGAGGAGAGCGTTGAGTGAGGTTAAAATTCGTGGTATCGGCGAAAACGCGCGAGCAGAGGTGCGACCTCTTGGGACGTCAAAGAGATCGTGTCTTCTAGCGCGGCCATACTTGTTCGGTACAAACAGTCGACAGAAGGCTATAACTATATACTTAACTTACTGTTATAAATTATCTTTGAAACGTTTTGTGCAGTGTTATATCATCTTTTACTATACATTTTATTCTTTTAATATTTCCGTTATGGTTCTTGAATAAACAAAATATATAGAAATTTCGTTATCTATAGATTTATATTCTCTTCTATAAGTAAAAACTCATTTTCATATTACTTTATCCAAAAATAATAATATTGAAAAAAATTACAGGAACAACATATTCTGGGCACTATACGGCGTACTGCAAGCATCCCTACACAGGCGAATGGCATGAATATAATGATTCGAGGTAAGTACCAATCATTAATGTCAGATATAACGCTATTGGTGTTATAAATGAAAATGAACTGCCTCTGTGATTAGTGCATTTAACTATAAAGCACGAAGACCTGGATTCAGATCCCTGTCGGGGAGTATAAAAGCGTCCTACCTATACCTTACTTGCTTACCCAAGATTCAAAAAACTTACGACTATAATATGTAAAGTTTCCTGTCTTCTATTTAGTACATGGGCGGCCAAATTTTTATGTTTTGAAATATCTTTTTTATAATAGAATAGAACAGATAAGTCGTTCACTTATGTGAGGTGAAAATACACCAATATAATATTTAAAGAACTGTCGACTCATTTTGGCTTTAAATATTTGATATAAGATATTGTTATGCAACATATTGTGTTTTAACGCAGTTTCTTGCCTAAGGCAGATCTGTAATATTGCTTTTCCCTTCCAGAGTAACACCAATAAACCCACGCGACGTTGTCTCTCCGGAGGCGTACGTGCTGTTCTACGAACTCGCTTCTACCACATAGCGAACAACGCGACCGCCATGTAAGTCTCTGTCTTTCTCATAAAAAATTGTACCTTTAAAGTGTGTAATCATGCAATAACCTTTTAAATAAAACACTTTAACGGTTTAAAACGCGATATATTAGTTAAACTTATTTGGAAATGATTTTTAACTTCGGCCCGACGTTTCGGATGCTTTGCAGTAGCCGTGGTCACGGGGAGACGTCCGCATCCGAAACGTCGGGCTGAAGTTAAAAATCATTTCCAAATAAGTTTAACTAATATATCGCGTTTTAAACCGTTAAAGTGTTTTATTTAAATGTGTACTACTCGCGTAAACTATAGACAGTATTTCATGCAATAATTCATGCTAACCTAACCTAACCTAAAAGGCACAGACTATACAATAAATAAGTAATTTGTTAGTCTGTAGTTTACGCGAGTAGCATACATTTAAATAAAGCACATAAAAACATTCGAAACCTCCGACCGTATTAAAAAATAATTTGTGAATAAGTTTCACAAATACAATTGGCTTTTTAAACAGGTAAAAGTGTTTTATTTAAATAAATCATTAGTCTTAATATAAAATAGCGTAAATACAGCCTCGTTTATAACCGCCCCTGTAACGTAACTTAACGTAATAGGTGGCGCGTAACATTATATACGTCTTGGATTCGAATCCTGTGGAAATTAAATAGTTTCTGTCAATAAAAGGACTAGTACAATCAATTTGCCTGAAAAGCAAAGTCGATTATTGAAACATACATCTTAAATTACTGACTATAGTTTACGCGAGTAGTACACGTTTAAATAAAACACACACATATATTTTTAACAGATGGCGCTAGCGTAGCAATTTTTTACTTTGACGTGAGCGACATCCTCCATCTTTAGCCTCCCTGTGACCACGGCTGCTGCAAAGCATCCGAAGCGTCGGGTCGAAGTTAAAAATTATTTTCTAATAAGTTTAACTAAACTAATATATCGCGTTTTAAACCGTTAAAGTGTTTTTTAAACATACTTCTTTTATTTCGCCCCATGCTGCAATTAAGGATTGCGGATTTCACATTTCCGTCTTATTTACCCTAATCAAGTAATATAATGTATAAAATTCAATTTTCAGAATGGAGTGACGCGAGAGCAACGGCGGTTGCCGAATGTCCGAGAGGTGTCTGCCGTTTGCTATAAACACACTAACATACAAACACGTGTACAACACACGACGCGATCGATAAATGGCTAGTCTTAGTGTTGAGATTATATTACAATATTAACGTTTAAAGTTAATCATTCGATGTAGAGGACAGACTTCATAATGTACAAAATGGCTGCCTTATACCATTAATTAGCGAATTACTAATGGACAAGGGTAGTTGAGGCGCAGTTAACGCTTTGCAAAGCATCATTCACATTTATTCCACTAGATGGCGTCATACTAAATTTAGCTCAGTAATTTTTATTTGAGATTAACTTACATTTTCTCGCATTTATCTAGTAAACTTCGCTTATTGTCTTTGGATTTAGTAGTACTCATTTTTTAGTATTTCGCTTCACTTCTTAGTCGAAAAGCATCGTCTCGAATACGTTTTGTTGAGTCGTGTGTCGTACATTTATGTCGTGCCTAACGCATCATCGTTTACAGGATGTTGTAAATTCTTGTCAATTTTAAAGGCACATTTGGCGGGAAAATACATGCAAAGGTGTGGTTTGTTAAATGAAACACTTTTAACGGTATAGAATGCGAAATATATTTGCTAACTATTTAAACTGTTGAGTGTTTTATTTAATGTTTTCCACTATATCTATCTATACACTAACCCAAAGTTTCGTGATTGCATTCGATACAACTATTTTTAACGCCAAAAATATAAACTATACTATTATTACCAATATTTTTATAAAATACATTTGTCCTGCATCTACAATTATTTTTAACTAATTTTGTTTGTAAAAAAACGTAAAGAAAAATAGACTTAGCGTTATAAAGCAAAGTGAATTTTCATATTCTGATTATAATTGTATATTAGGATCCTATATAAAATGGAAACAGTATTTGCCCTATATTGTCTTCCACTAATGTGCCTTTAAAATGGTCTAGTTTTCAGACCATTCTGTAGATTGCTTATTTATTAATCTAGATTAAATGTAAATATATCTTTGAATCATCGCTGCGTTGTTTTTGATAAAACTTTATCGGTTCTGTTTGGTTGGTGCTCATTTTTTGTACCTTTGTAATTTTGGGTTCTACCTACCTACCATTGTGGGCAACATTATTCTTTTATTATTTCATAATATTATTAACACTTTGGTTTCTATTCACAGCTATTGTCGTTTGTCAGAAACAACGCTTTTAGCCGTCTATAAACGTGCGTTTGAGTTCGTTTCTATAGATTTTCCGGTGAAATTTCAGCTCCGTCCACTAGATATTTTATCGTGCAACTTTTATTGGATGCATTTTCAATGGACAGACGTTGCCAAATGTCCATTAATAATTCAACACTTTCGCATTATTTTGAGTTAACTGGTATTTTAGCGACGTCAGTCCTTACTTTAAATTTGACAAAAACGCGCGTTTATATAATTATGTTGGGACAATATACAAATATATATGGTAGTAGGGTAACAAAAAACAAAAGGCAATATAAATTGTGGAATAAAAGGTTATTGGTAATTAACCAGCAAGGCTAAGTAACTCTGATGTTAGACTATAAAGTTTAATCGAGGTAAAACTTTACAATACATTTATCCAAAAACGGTAATACCGTAAGGACAGTAGGTACGTAATCTCATAATGCCATTTTGGTAGAAAATAACATAGATTATTTGTATATGGTCACACATAACATTAATTCATCATGAATAATATAACTAGAAACCTATTTCGTCTCGAGTGCTAGTGTTGTTTTCTAAGAATCTAACGACGAAACAACGTCGATTTTGGTAAAGAAAATATTGCGATAAATACAATATTTTCTTTGAAAACCGATTTCTATTAAAAGTGGGAAGGGAATAACCAATCAGATTTAAGACACGAGTGTATCGCAAAGTTTAGTTAACACTAAAGCTATAAAATTTCGTCTACTAAATATCTCATTCATATACATACAGGAAACTTATTCTTTTTCAGTCTAGTTGTAAATAATACTTCCCTCTAGGACAATTCCTCGATAAGCCTTTTACACAGATATTAGTTAATATTAACGATGGAAATAGGTCGTCTTTTCAGCAAAACGAGTTAATATTGTTGTCTCTTTCTAACAATCCCTTACGAAGAACAAGGACGCAAAATGCTCAGTGGGCAATCGCTAAGCGTGACCCTTTCTGGTTGTAACTCGCCCTAGCGAATAGACACTAGTCTTCGTCTATTCGTTTATTTAAAAAGCAGTTATATCCTTGAAATCTGATTGGTTACTCTCGACAAGTCTTATCAAGAGTCACTTCTGTTGCTGTTTCACTCGCAAAGCAGCAGTAGCGATGTGCGCTGCGGTGTACTCGGTATATCTAGAATATTGCGTCCAAATGACGTCATCTTCATTAATAATGGCCGTAATGTCAAAGACCTGTCAAAATATTTGACAGCTCGATGTTTTGTTTTGCGACAGATTATTAATAAAAATGTACGTCTTGACACAGATTAGTCATGTGTTTATCGGAGGCAAACTATTATAACTAAGACAGTTCTTGTGCATAGTTTCGTTACTATTGGGTAATATGAAGAGGTTGTATTTACGAAACTATGAACGATTCTGTCAGGTGCCATAATAATTTGTCTCTAATATAATTATTTAAGCGCTTGTGCGTGGTTGTTTTTTGTTTATTATTATTTTTATAATTGTATTAATTGTTGATCATTTTACTAGTTTTGGGGGTCCCCATGTTATATTCTGTGTCTAAAATGCCAATTGTTTGTCTATGCAAAGTTTATCGTCTGTTCCGGGGGTTTACCTCTCATTCTAACACTGTAGTTTGGGGTCCCCATAAGAGATTTTCATAAGAATCTTAATTTAGCCAAAGAGATTGTTGTTAAATCGCTGTATCGATAAATATTAAATTATTATTGTTTATCTGAATCAATCGCGGGGCTCTGTCCCATAACTATTGTAATGTATAATACGTAACAGATTTATATAAGTATAGAAATATATATTTAAATGAGTAAATAAATTATTTGTTTTATTTTTGTATTCCCAATTACCCAATCTGTTGTTTGTTTTTTTAGCTTTTAACTCGTATTTCTATATTTAAGTATTGTATTGATTTGCTTTTATATTTTTAAAAGTGAGCAACAAAAATGTTATTTTGTCAACTTTTGTAAGCTGTCATTTACTATCAAGTATAAATAAGGCATCGTTCGCCGACAGATGGCGCTTAAATAAATTTGGCCAAATCAATATTCTCCATGAATGAATTAGGATAACAGGGAGTAACCCACCCATTCAAGACGATTCTTCAATAGATAATTTTTGACGTTTGTGGTATAATCTAGCCGAGAAAAGGTGCAAAGCGTTAGAACTCAATCTATCGTACTTTATAATGTTATGCCGCCTTTGTAATTAACAACGGCCAACTTAAATCAATTTTAACGGTTTAAAACTCGAGTACATATGTTGATTTATTCTTATTATTATATATTCCCAGCCGCATCACTAGGAGACTCTGTTTTCGTAAACCGTCGAGTTTGACATTAATGTTCTTTGTTCTTTCTAAATAATACCTAATATATAGGTACCCTTATAACAGAGGTTCAACACTAAGAAAATTGGCGGTCCAAGCCGAGGCCGCTCTTGGTCTAGCCGCAAACACACTCGCCCAAAAGCCCGGTTAGTATTCGTGATCCCGTCGGGACACAATACGAAATAGTCAATCAAAAAAAAACTAAGAAAATGTCTATCAAGTAAATCGATAATGCACCATTATCGATTCGTTTGATCTGAAACATTGCCGTAAAATATTATTTATTACACAAAAAAGGTTTTAAATTATTGACGATCATCATTCATTTTATTTGTAATTCTGCAATTTAAGTTAAACAAATTAGAGCATTAGGAGTTATTAGTTTAATGTATTCAAGATATATAAAAAAAATAGATGTTCTTAAACAACGTTTAAATAATTTAAAGGCCATAGCATTAATAATATATAAAATATCGTCTAAAATTCATTAGACCATTTATGCCAAGTACTTAGTCAGAGATATACTAGATTTAAAAGTCATTTAAAAAAATTTCTTGCCTTAAAACTTTGATTCTAGGTGAAAAATCGATATTTTTACTGACGTGAGCGATACTTCGTTTGAATTTGCCGCGTATGACGTAAGCAACGTTTCCTGACGTCACACATCCCCACCAAGCTACCTTTCTCTTTCTAGCGCAATTTGAACTTGTAAGATAAAGCGAAACAACAACAGTAACGTAAAGCTTGTGAATCAAGATATTTTTTTCAAGTGCCAGGGCTGTTTCATTGCGGCCTTCGGAACTGATAACAATACTATTACCTTAACACATGGTTGATTTACGACTTGTTTATATGTTAACTCAGTATCGACTACTAAAGATACCGATTAGACATGTTAATTTGCATAAAAAAAAACTAACGACTGAAGTAATTGTTACTTTGAAATCATTAATGAAACCTTTAAGACGCAGTTGTACCTCCCTAGCGAATGACGTGCGTGCCGGCAGCGCCACTGCGGTGAATATTCGAACTAACACCAGTACTCTGCTAGCTACCATCCTGTATGGGTTCAACGTAATTTTACACCGCGGTCGTACTCTAAAATGGCTTGCAATATCAAGCCTTTGCACAAAAGCAAGCATTTCCCGATAGACCAACTAGTATGCGTTGGAAACTACGAATTGGAAAAGACAATAGGGACAGGAAATTTCGCTGTAGTTAAACTTGCTACACATGTTATTACTAAGAGTAAGGTGGGTATAAGTGATTCTGTGTTTTATTTTGTGTTTTCTTTAACCAGTTAACACCGGATTTCGTTGTTAGTGATCTGTGAAGTGTTGGTATTTTTCGGGACACGACTACTGGAGATAAATATCAGGTTAGATATCCTTTGAACGAGATGAAAATTGCTGAACGTGTAAAAAAAATAAAGTTATAAACCGACTTGGTATGTGACACTTTGTTTATTACACTATCGACTCAGTTGAGGCACTTTTCAACTCAGTCGGCTTATACAAATCGTTCAAAAAGTTCTTACTACTTTTTTATTCTGTTATCTTAAATATGACCTCCAAAATGCCTGTGCGACAATTATTTTCAATTGGCAACATGCTTTGATGTACTCGGATCAATTATGTAGTTTAGTCTTCTTGGAGGAAACTTCATTGTCATAGTGTATCTTTTATCCTATTGGATAAAGTAGAATCTGTACTATTCAATTACTATGATATGAGTATAAAAAACAAATGCAAATAAAACGCATTTAGGGAAAAACTCATAATTTAAATTGTTGAACCTTTGAAAAGTGAATTACTATTTTCCTATTGGAATTCAGATAAAAGCTAGAGAAAATTAAACTCTTTAACTGTTTAAAACGCGATCTAATTTAGTTGATTGTTTTCGCACTGTGATCAAAGTACAAACCTTTCAGCAGCCATGGTCACAATGGGGCCGTAAAATTTACATAAAAAATAAAACATTTAAAGTTAGTTACTTATGTAGATTAATTTTACTACCAATCTTGAGAAACTTCTATGTTCCATTCAATTGGATACATATTATAATCTGTGTCACAAATCAAGATAAATGGACACTACTGTCCTTATATGGCAAGTCAAAGGCAGTGCATGGGTACTTTAAGAAAGATCTATCTTGTTTAAAATAAATCTTCCTGCATATTTTATATTGTTTGAAATACTTTAAATACTATACACAAACTACTTAATTTATTAACTGAATAAATTATTCATTATTCAAAAGTAGGGAAATAAACGCTATCTTTTCTTTATTAACACATGTTTTGTTTGTGCATAAATTGCAAAAGTTTTGAATAATCTTTCAGCGACAACTTTGGTTGTACTTGATAATTACTAAATTGCTCACTTCCTTATCCTTAAATAATGTGGACAGCAACAAAATATGCAATAGTAAACTCCGGTGAATCAGCTGTTAAAAAAAAGTTACGGAACAATAAAAAATACTTAATTGTGTGTAGATTAAAACTGCAAAGTGTATTAACTACAGATTATCATCATGTTTGTCATAGAATTATGTGATTTTGTTATTAATACCCCTCTGTTGGGTAAGGGACTCTTTTCTAAAAGATTTCGGATAGGACCCACCATGTTGCTCCACTGTTTACACACTTTTCATAGTTAATTTCCTATGATATACATAGTTCATGCCTTAGGCTCTATTAGAAAGTGTCTCACGCTTCTATTGTGTACATAACAATAGGATTCTTTAGTAGAAATTAGCTTTTAAACCTACTTCAGTTAATATAAAGTTTGTGACATAAACCATTGTTTACATGGATTAATAATATAGAAAAAAACTTACTAATGGAAGCCAAAATGGATATTATTTTCTTTTCTTCTTTTTCGTGTTTGTTTCTTTGTGTTGTGTATTATTTTAAAGTACATGAAAATCTTTTAAATTTTTTTTTTAGATATATATATTTTCATATAGAAGAATAGAAAACATAGTGTTGATTGAATTACCTTTATATAAATAGCAGGGACCTAGATTCAAATTAATTTAGCAAAGGAAGTACGATTTGTCTATCAATGATCGGCATTAAAACAGATTCTTGAAGATTGTCTATATATAATCTTTATTTTATAAATCTTTAAAAAAATATCAGACAGTCTTATAAAACTGCCTTTTGTTATTTGAATTATTACAATTGGAAATTAAAATCTAAGCCCTAAAAATATACAATCTTGATCGGTTTGAGGTTGATTTCAGGAATAATTCCTAACACCTGGGGGCGTGAGAAATGTCAGATCATTGACATTTACTTACTGATAAATTAAAACAATTAATTTTCCAGCTTCGTTGTTATAGCTGTATTAATGACATTTTAGAAGTTAGTAGAAGATAGTATTTATTCTTTTGCTTTGTCTGTATTAGCCTTGTCATATCTTAAAATATTACACAAAAACTGACACAAATATCACAGGGTTTGTATTTATAAGTAATACTCACTTGACTAGTGGAAAATTGCGATAATTCTATTTGTAATGAAAGAATAATTATATTGAGATTTTTTTATTGTAGAGACTAGAGATAATTATCACTTCAGTTAGATTAAATTAAGTGTAAAATAAACAAGATTGCCCCCATGACTCCACAGAGAAGTGCGATGTCTAAGTGGGAGTTTCAAAACATAAACATATTCGGTCGGGTAGGGCACGGTATTTTTATGATAGCGGAGGGCAGAGAAGCTCTGGATTCACTTGATAGTAGGTAATCCTATCTATATAACATCGAAGCTAGTTTCGCTGTCAACCTATTTTGGCTTTGGATATTCGGAAATCCACATACCGAACCGGGATTAAAATTCACAAGTTTTTCATTTGTGGACGGAATTCGATGATCCTACCACCTATTTAATACCCACACATTGCTGTGTCCGTTCACTTCGCTTTTACACACAGACAAGCAGATAATCAGGACTACCAGTTCCTTCGAACCCAGGACCTCGGTAACACATTTCCAGGCAACACGTTTATCATTTAGCTTTAGATGCGGTTTATTAAAGTACATAAGTGGGTTTAATTCTTAAAAACAACGGTTTACCCTACAAACTTTAGTTACACAGAACGAGTGTGCAATAACAATTAACACCTGTTTTATAGATCATCCTTCTATGCCTATGCGCATTTTATTAACATGTAAAACACGTTACACATAAAATTGTTTAGCATAAAATAATGCTTATTATTCTAGAGGCCATCTTGATTGTTTTATTATGTAACGGCGTCTTGAGAAATATGATATGAGATTTCGCATTATTCGTTAGACGTTTCAAGACTTTATCACTCATATTGGATACGAATGTTTGTGCTTCTTTCGGCAAAACGGCTTGACTGAAACTGATAAATTTTTAAGTGGTTGTCCTCAACTCACAGTATATTTTGTTAACTGTACTGAACTCTGCTGAAGGTAAAAGAAAACATATAGGCTGAGATAAAAGATATACCTAACCTATATGTATATTATATTCTACCGTTGCTCGTCGTTTAGTAGCACAGAAGAATATAATTTAAGTAATTTTCTTAATGGATCTAAAATCATTATGTCTCTTAATTTCAAGTGATTTTTAACGTACCTACGCCACAAATAATGTAGATCAATTGTATAGTTACGAACAGACAAAGATATTTTTCGTATTATTACTATCTAGGTACATAAATGTCTATACAAAAAAACATCGGGTCATTGTATCGATGTTGAAATGATATCGATTAAAAAAAAGAAATGGTTTGACGCTCGTCTGTCTTACAATACACATCTCCTGTTTTCATGCACTTATAAAAAAACATATGTAGAAACATATATAATTGAGGCTGCTAGACGCAGAGTGGCCTAATAAGAAAAAATGGTGGATGATAAAAATGGTGATGGTGGTCTCTGCGCTCTTGTAGATTTACATTTTTAGCACAGTAACAATATAAATAAGTCAAGTCATGAAATTGCACTTAGGCCACTCTGCCTCTAGCAGCCCTAATTATGTGTGTTAGTACGTTTGTCTTTTCTCTAATTTACTTAGCTGTACAAATATATTGGAATAATTAGTATTGCTCAGTGGCACAGGTAAACAAAAATATTATTTATTATCATTGGCAATTCATCTGAGCTGAGCGATCTCGGTGGAGTTATGGGAAATGATAAATTTTGATATAAGCCAAAGCGTGTTTTTAGGGTTTAGTAACTAATGCAACCATATGACGTCGCTGTCTGTTCGGGATTTTTTGGAAATTGTGTATTTGTGCTGCCGCTCTTATAAAACGTCATGAAACGAATGTTTTAAGTGCCTACCATACAAACAAAACGAAGTTTACTGACCTTTGTCTATCATATATGGCAACAAGTAGTCAAATAAAATATTCGCTAAATTCGGTGATTAATTTTTTATTTCATTATTAGGTATTTATACTCGTATATATGTATACAGTATATAATATTTAATTTATTAATTTTATTACTAATTAATAAAACTAAATTACTAAAGCGGGAGCTATAAAAATATTTTTGATTTTAATTAATATTTGAAAACGTAATGGTACGTCTCTCTCTTAAACCTCTTATGCACAACTAGCTGTGTCAGCGACTTCGTCCGCGAACAGTTACTTTGGGCATCCAAATTTGCAAACCACTTCATCGCGTCGCGTCGTCCTTGCAAATTTTAAACCATAAGGATATTATTTTAGATCATTTGAAGAGATTAGATTTTATACATATTTTTGGGGTATCCACATTATTGCTCATAAAGTGTTCAAGCAGTGGACACCGAACGGCTGAATCGATAGATAGATTCCTTAGGAATAATCATGAAAGAAATTTCTAATCATAAAACAAGAGTAGTTTGTGAAGCTTGAATACCTTTTTGTAGACAAATATTTAATTTGCACTTCAATCGTAAAATTAAATTCGACCTTGCCAATTTTATTTTCGGCTCGAAATGCAAAAATAGTATATTTTTAATTATTTCCGCCCAAATATATATACCGCATTTCGATAATTTGTAATCGAAGGTTTACCGGTCCCAAAATTAACTTATGCTATATCCAGTATCTATATATATTATATATATTAAAGTGTCATCTGTGTGAGTGTGTATGACTGGGAGTGAAATGCCATTTTAAATATGTTGGGGCATAGATCAAATGCATCACACATATAAAATATTTGCTAATGACCCCAAAACTTCTTGCTTGTGTGGTTTTACTATTTATTATTTTGTATTTGG